GGTCGTCTCTCCTCGCCAACCTACTTTCCTACGTACACGGGACGGTCTCTCTCTCTCTCTCTCTCTCTCTCTCTCATCAGGGCTCCAGCCTTAAACATAACTAGGGTGACCAGATGTCCTGATTTTATAGGGACAGTCCCGATTTTTGGGTCTTTTTCTTATATAGGCTCCTATTACCCCCCACCCCCAGCCCAATTTTTCACAGATGCTGGTCACCCTAACATAAGCACAAGTGGTTAACTAGGGCACCACACAGATTTAGCAGCTTATTTCCCAATGTCCTCCCAGCAGCTTGATGGGAGAGGAAGGCAATTATCTGCCCACTTCCCACTCTTCCTAAAGGGAGGAAAGGAGACACCTCATTGCTTTTCCCCTTTTTCAGGGGTAAGACTGTATTGGGCAGGGGCCTCTGCTTTTAGCAGCTTGTTGCTAGCAGCCCCACAAATAGGAAGGCTGCAATGGTCCGTCGCCCGGGAGGGGAAGGAGAGTTCAAGAGAAAAGTTTTGGGTTTCCTACAGATCACACTGAGGCTGCATCATTCGCAGATTGCCCTGAGCACGGACACATGTTGCACATGCATGTGGCGAGCGGGGAGGGAGAGGTGAAGCAGGTTTCGCAGAGGCACACCATGTTTTGGAAGCTAACCAGAAATACATGGCTTTGAAATATTATTAATAAACCATTAAAAGGCGCCTGCCCTCCCTCACACTCGTTCTGCTGAGCGCTGCGCTCTCTGCTCAGATTTCCAAGGCTGCTGCTGGGTTATTTTGGTTTTGCAATCTGATCCACGCTGGGTTTATTTTAGCACCTTGGAGAACTCCCAGGCTGATGGATTCCAGGTCCCTTCCCTGAGGCCATGCTTGCGAGGCCTTGCTAGCTATAGCAGACTAGGCAGCTGCCTAGGATGGCAGATTTTGGAAGGCGGCAGACTGGCGGTGCGGCAGCCACCAGCCGGGGCTCCAAGGAGCAGGAAGGGGTCCCATCTGAGCTGCTGGGGAAATGCTCCTGCCCCCTCTCTGCTATTCCCTGAGCCCGGCGCAGGTAAGGAAGTGGTCACAGCAGTAGCTTAGGTGCTGAGCGGCTTGGGGCTGCTCCTTGCGGCACCGCGAGTGCTGGTAGGGCTTCAGCCACAAGGGCAATGCCCCACCCAGCTCCAGGTTGGCACCTGCCCCCCATAGGCCCTGCTGCCCACGCAGTGCCTGGCTCCTGCCCCAGCTGCTGTTTCAACTCCCCCATGGGTGGGCTCTGGAGGGACTGACACCGCTACGAGCCCAACTGTGAGACGCAAATCCAGAAAAGTGCAGGGGTGGGCCGGGCAGTATGGGGGTGATGGGTGGAGGCAGGAATGCAGAGTGCAGGGGGACAGGCTGGGATTGTGGTGTGCAGGGGTGGGCAGGCGGGGGACTAGCGGCGTGGGGCTGGGGAGCCAGGTGTGGGGCCGAGGGGTTGATAACCCCACTCTGCCAATGGCAAGGAGCCTGGTGCCCATTATGCAAAGGGCGAATCACATCCCCAGTCCAGGTGGCTTCATGCGGGGCGAGGCGGGGGGTCCTCATTGCCCATTCACTAGGCCCCTGTGGGCCGAGAGCTGCCCTCTGCCTGAGCCTGGGTCCTGTTAGGGTAGAGCTGAGCTGAGCGGCCCCAGGGGAAGAAGCTGCTGCTGGCCAGCAATGCTGAGCTGGGGCTCATTCTCCTCTTGAGCCCTGGGTAGCTGGTGCCAACCTGTCCGGAAAGGCCCATTGGGAAAGGTGGCCCCGGCTAGAGATACTGCGGGCCCAAAGAGCAGGTCTTGGCAGCTTGCAGGGCCTAGGGCATAGGCCTGGGGGGACGTTCATGGTGGCCTGGTCCAGCTCAACCCACTGGGATGTCAGATTGGGGTCTGTCCCAGACTGACTGTCACTGGGGCCCAGGCTGAGGTCTGCCCCATCAGCCTCCGACCCGGCATGAGGCGCAGGGCTGGGGGATAGCAGCAGTGGGGGAGGCGCAGAGGGTCTGCTGCAAACTTCGAGGAGAATAGGTGGGGGGCAGCAGACTGAAGTTTTGCCGAAGGTGGCTGATTGCCCAGGCCCAGCACGTTTCCCCTCCTCGTCAGCTCCCTCCCCAACCAGCAGGCTCCTCCTCCCAGGCTGGCTCCACATTCCCCTGGGCGGGCGGGGTCTGATGGCCCAAATTCCCTGCATAGCTGTTGCTGCCTATCAGCTCAGTCCACAACCCCAGCTACGCAGCCTGCAGTGGAGATGCAGTCAGGGAACAGCAGCAATGCCTCTATCCCCGTGATTCTGGAAACCTCCCCATCCCCGCCCACACCAACATCACCGACACCTTCAGCACACCCCAAGTGCCAGCAGCCACAGCCAAGCTCCAGCAATCACTGCCAAGAAGCAGCAGCAGCAGACACTTGCAGCCAAACTGCTCAACAGCAAAACCTTCTGCCTTCCTATGATGGGACTTGTTTTCAGGAGGCTTTTGATTGGGAGGTGGCGGTGAAGGAGGAGGTGGTGGTGGAGGAGGAAGGAACCTTATTTAAAATATACCACAGTATTCTGGAGTATTAATCCGGAATGCTACAGCAACGCTAGCTCCAGCTGCAGCATTTGAGTCCTTTAGTGTAAAATATGGCAGTATTTTTTTTTTCCAATAAAAGAAGGTGCTGTATTTCCACCATTCTGTGCTGAAACAAGGTGATAGTTCAGTATATCAGCCCCACTGCCAGGAGGAAAGAGCCCCAGGAGGAATGGAGAGTGGGCATGTTACGTGAGACGGGGGCACACACACACTAAACAGATTTAAGAAGGAAAAGCATCCTATAGACAACCAAAGGGATTAACAAATATCCCCAAGCGCTACATTATGTTTTGTTACAGCTGGGCCTCAAAGGCCAGCCTTCAGCATGAACATTTTCACCTTCAAGATCTTCTCCACACTCTAGCACAGGTATTGCTTTACCCAGTCCTCACATGCAGCCACTGCTGGAGTGGAATATGGCAATTGCTTAACAGTTCCCAGCATGCTACGCAGCCACGTACCGCTACATGTGAAGAAGAATCCGGTTGAAGCTGCAGAGACGATTTGGAGTTATAAGTAGCCTATAATGACCCAAATTAGAAACTGACCAGGACAGCAAAGCTAAACAGGCTCAGCGAAATTGCAACAGAACCAGATTCTATTGAAGTCAAAATGCTTCTTAAAATTGGGTTAATTTCAGAAGAACACTGGGGGAAAAAAGATCTAGCAAGGTTGAAATGTCCCCTTGTCAACATTTTCAGAATGAAACATTTCAATGTTTTGTTTTGAAATTATAGTTCTGCATTGGAACAAATATTTAAAAATCTGAAATTCTTAGTGCAGAAAAATTCCCCAGAAAATTAGGTTTGGGTCAATGGAATCATTTTGGTTTTATTACAACTTTTTCTTATTTTATGTTATAATATATTTTGAAATTTTCAGTTTCTTTTCCCCTTCAGAATGAAGCCAGATTTCAAAATCCTGCACAAAACAGAATTTCTATCGGCCACACAGCTCTACTCAACTCTTGCAAAAAGCGCAATGGCGTTTTTAATTACCTTGTTTTAAGTCTCGTCTGCAGACCATCACTCTCAGTATCACAATGGCTGGTTTTGGTATCAGTACTGACTTGGTAGAAAGTAGTCTCTTGGGAACCAAGAACTTCTGAGTTCTACTTCCCCCTCCACCAGACCTGATGCGAGTTCATTGGCAAATCACTCCCTTGTATGGTCTGTGCGACCCAGTTTCCCTATCTGTTGCAGGGATAGCAATAATCAGTAATGAATCCAATGTTTGCATGGCACTTTGAAAAATATAAAGCACAAAAATATTACCACTTGCTAAATGTTCAATGAATGCCCCTTCTAGTACCTGTTACCCTGGAAGCTTCCATCCAAAGACTGACCAGCTCTGATCCTGTTTAGCTTAATTTGACCATTTCACAGGCCAACGGGGCGTGGCTGCAAAACGTGAAAGTCTGTGTCCATGCCTAGCGAGGCTGTAGGGGATCTCTGCTGAGAGAGTAGACTGTAAATGACTTTTAAAGTCAAATAGGAGAAACCTCATGATCTCTCCTGCTCCATCTGGGGCTGGTCTCTGCCCCCCACCCCCGTACAGTAATTTCTTCCTACAGTCAGGGGCTTGCTTAGCTGCTCACCACTCCCCTCCCCATCAGCCCATCACCCTGGCAGCCAGGGAAACTCCTTCTGTGGTACTCTCTGGGCCTGAGTGTCCCTCCCTGGCTCTTTCTGCCCCAACCTATTGAGTGGGGTGGCCAGTTCTGCTCTGTTCCGCATGAAGAGTGGAAGGTGCATGAAGAGCGGGAGCAGGCCGAGGAAGGTGCGTGGGCTCAGCAAACCACCTCATGCTGTTCTCCAGGGCAGAAGGGTGGACGAATGAGGGACCCTGGCTGAAAAGAGGGAGGGGGGAGGGCTGAACATTATTGGTCAGACAGAGTTGGAGGCGGGAATTTATGCCTGCACATCCCAGTGAAATTCTTGTGCTCTCGCTCGGGTCTCAGATCCAATGGGCTCCATTGTGATTCCAGCACTGCCCATGAGGAGCAGATACAACCTCGCCCTGTCCCGAAGGCATCTGTGTGTCTAAATTTCCCTCTGCCTCCCAAACTTCCGTGTATCTATTAGACGACTGTAGAGTCAAGGGCAGAGATTGTACCTGGGTAGACGGCACAGTGCCAAGCACATTGTCAAAGCTAAATAAATTGTGTATGTAAATAACACACACGTGTCCATCTTACTATATTGAGATGATAGACTATACTGTTGGTTGACCTTGGGCAAGTCATTTCATGTTTCCATGCCGCAGTTTCCCCATCTACAAAATGGGCATAATAATACTGACCATCTTTGTAAAGAGCTTTGAGCTCTACAGATGAAAAGCATTAAGAGCTAGAATAATAATTCTATAAAAGCACACACATACATGCACCCCAGGTTTGCAGCTGTGCTCCCCCAGCAGGGTTCATGCTCAGATTTTCACAGAGCCCAGCACCCAACACACTGAGGAAAAACCTCAACCTTAGCAATTGGCTTATATACAACAAGACCATTGCAGCAACATTGCAAGTATCAATAATACAAGATAATAACTTTCCCACGAGCCATTGCTTCCTAACAGCCACTTTCAATTTTCTGTCTATGCCAGCAATTCCCAGGGCCGCCCAGAGGATTCAGGGGGCCTGGGGCAAAGCAATTTTGGGGGCCCCTTCCATAAAAAAAATGCAATATTATAGAATACTATATTCTCATAGGGCCCCCTGCGGGGCCCAGGGGCAAATTGCCCCATTTGCCCCCCCCCCCGGGTGGCCCTGGTAATTCCTCAGCCCTTTTCCCACTACGGAGAGCTTTTGATTTCCCATTGCCAGAATCCTCACCCAGCCAAGAGCCTCTAGGACTAAGGGAATGTCATGCCCATGACTGAATCCACCTACCAAACTTCAACCAGCAAATATTCCGGAGGAGAGAAAAGGGCCAAAATTAAAGTGACAGAAAATGCATTGCATTTTTTATATATATATATATATATATATATATATATATATAGTATAGATATAGTATAGTATATAGTATATATATA